TTTAGGTTAATAAAACAAACCTGTCAAAAACCATGCTCATTTCCTATGTTTGGGGTAAAACAAGTACTTCTAATTAATACAGCAGGTGCAGTGATTTGGGAGTGTGTGGGTGGGCTCCAGGCTGATTAAGCACTCAAGTTCCTGAAGTGAAACTGCACAGAGAGTGTAAAATGAAATACATTAAAAAGCATTTCTTAGGGTGTGCTGAACGCAAATTTCAGGCGTGCTCGTCACAGCTCAATCGCATTAACTGGAAGATGTACAGTAAAAGCAACATCTATATTAATGTTTTATTTATGCCAAGAAGACTTGAAGGCAGCGTTAGCTGTTTCCAGCTTCAAAATGATTCTGTCTTGTTTCTTAAACAGGCAGACTGTTAAATTTAGAAATACACAAGCTGATTCAGGCATCCTAATCTGTGGTCTACAGACTTCAGGACTCTTAAAACTGTAATTTAGCATTGCTCCAATTATACTACATGATCAAGGGTTATGGCAGTCAGAAACATGGTGCCCAGCTACGCTACTTAAGCTGATAACCTGGCTTCTGTCAAGCAAAAGCAGATTGGCCCAATTTCGTCCCCGTTTGTAACTTTTCTTACAGTCCTAAGCATGCATGAAAGACTGTTACCTGGACAACAACTGCAGCAACAGAACAAGAAAACGTGAGTTTCAAAAGAAAAATTTGTGTGGGAAGTGTAAGTCACATGTTGCTGGCAAAAATATTACTAAAAAAAGAGAACGTAAAACAGCTCGGATCAGAATCCTCATCTTGATTTAGCGTTTTACATAACAGCATTCAAAACACGTCTGCAGAGTCGTGTTTACCATGGCACAGACACCTCTGTGTCAGTGATCTGAGAGGGCAGGAAAGATTCAGAATATACAGGCTGTAGGTCACGCGGGGGTCGTTTCCTGAAACGGCATTAATCATGAAGGCCAGTGTGTCCTCTTCACCAAATGGAAGCTGGCGTCAAGGGGCTACAATGAGACGCGGACCACCAAGACATACGACAGTTTCTCGGGGCCCCAGTTACAGCACATCATTTGCTCATGTGCCACGATCGGGGGGGGGGGAATTAACCCAGTGCCCTTGTGTATTCATCCATGCAAGTTCTCAAACTCTTGCTTGCCTCCCGTGTGTAGAGAGTCTGAGCAGAAAGCGACACTTGTTACAGCTGAGTAACAAGATTCACAGGAAAAAAAAAAGCTGTTTCGGTGCTTTCAATGCCACCTGGCAATGAAGGAGCTTTCTGCGCTGGCCCCCGCAGGGGAGAATGAAACAAAGCAGGCCACGGTCGGGGCCCAGAGGCAGAGGCTTCTGCAAAAACACTATTCTCGCGGGCAGCAGAACTAAACACAGGTGCTTTCGAGTTCAAAAGAAAAAGGAAATGGCAGTAACGTGCTCGGGGTCAAATGAGAAAATTTGCATTTCTCACAATCCTCCTCTTGTTTCACACCCAAGGAATCCCCCCCCCTCCCCGTCCTACAGCTACTTCTCTAAAGTCTTCAAAATGCATGCAAACTTTATCAGCACGTCTGCAAAAGCCGTCTGAAGCCCGAACATTCAGACAAAGGGAGCTCCAGCCCGGCAGAGCCACAGCGCCGGCCGGGCAAGTTCCTGCGACAGCTTCCAGCAGCCGGAGCGGGAGAACCTCCTCCTGCAGCGGCTGCCAAGCCTCCCAGGGGCGCAGAAACCCCTTCGCTCTCCAAACACGCCAAGCAGGAAGCCCGCAATAAAAGCAGGGCTTGGCGGAATGCAGCTCCCTGCGGAAAGCCGCCCATATTTGGACAACCGGTAGTGAAACACGGTAGCCGGCGCTGCCTCGGGGCCCGTCGTGGGCCAGCAGCCTCCGCCACCGTTTCAGACGCCTTCGTTCGAACCCGCACTTCCAGGTTCGGGAACAATAAAAGTTGCTCGACGTGAGGAGCTACTCGACCGAGGCACACTGAGACCCCGACGCAGAATGGACCCCGCAGTCAGGCAGCTTGATTTGCGGGAACGCTGCACAAACCCTCTCTCCCCCCTCTACAGCCTGGTACCACATCTCTCTCGGCTCAGGTGCGAAACGAAACCCGCAGCTGCACAGTGTTGAACACGCTTGGCAAAGCAGGAAACTGCCAATTACACCACGACCGCGCAAGGTGGGTCAGCCATCTGTCTCACCTGGCTCTACCTGCCGCAGGACTCCTCGTGAGCCAAGGACAGTTCGCTACCAAGATGAACCCATTTACCTCTTCGGCGCAAGTGCGTGGAGTGAAAACAACGGTGACAAATCGGGGCTCTTCTTCGAGCAAACAAGAAACGCTCTCAGTGGTTGCACCAAGGTAAACAGGATGTTAAAACCCTGGGTGTTTGGACAAAAGGCATGCCTCTCTCTCGCTTTTGGACGTTACCGGCATGCACCTTCACTTTCCTTTGCTGCACACACAACTTAAGGCCAAGGTGCTTGAGCCACTGAGCACGCATTACATCTGTCGTCTGTTCAGTGGAGCACATCTGGCAGGGGGGGAAAAAAAACAGAACTATTTCAGTAAATCAAATCTAACAAAGGACTGCTGCTTTATACGGTCCGTTTTAATAGACAACGCGCATTAGATCATTATCCTCGCACATATGCACATTCCTGTACCATCTGTACAAAAACCCATCCCACACAACTCACAATAGAGAGCTCGTTCAGATGACTTTCAGCGCACCTGTCAAGCTGGAGAAAGCGCCATTGTGCGACACCTGTGCAGTCAGCATGGCAGTGGTTAAGTTCTGCTCACACACTTCCACAGCAATTACAGGGGATCACAGGCACAATAGACACTCCAGCACATGTAATTTATTCCTGACACGAGATGAAACCAGGCACCTGCACACAAGCAGCCTCTTTATTTTTAACACTGCGTGACTCAGCTGGGAGCCCAGTGCCAGACAGCCCACATGGTCTACAGACGCATCAGACTCGATCAGGCGGAAAACATACTGGGGCCCGTACAACCATGTGGTGGGAAAATAAAATAAAAAAACTTTTCTGAAGTTCACTTTAGATGCTTTTAATTATACATTCTGTGCTAGAATTTGCAGGTTCTGCTTCATGGTTTACGAACTCTTTACCAAATTAAGTTTACACCAGACCGAGTTTTGTCTAAAACCGTGCCATAAAAGACTACCGTCCCTTAACATCAATTACCGACACGCTGAACCTTTTTTTGACACCAATCCGATCACAGGTTTTCTCCCTTAATTTAAAAACTCTGCGACCAATATTCTTTAATGCACTTCAAAACAAATGGTAAAACGTTTCAGGAGTACAGTATTGTGTGTGCTGTTTAAGATCCAATGAAGCAACCACGCCATCTAGCGTCCAGTAAAACAAGACTAAGAAAGTGCTCGGAGCAAGGGACACCGCGTCCCGCTCCATGCGTGATGGACAGCCTCGGTTTCTTTTGAAACAGCTGCTTTCTACTTTAATAAATAACTCCTCTTAACACAATGACTATAACGTCCTCCAATAACAAGTAGTTCACGAACGCCTCCCCTTAGAATTCCTTGCACGCAGGTTGACAGAGGTCGAAAAAGAGGCGCAACAGGCCGACTGCGGGCTGGAGGGTGCCAGTGCGTTTGCGTGGGCGGCCAGCGCCCTCTGCTGACCGGGAAGCGGAAGCGCAGCCTCTCCGGCACACCAAAGCCCGCCTCTGGTGTCACTGCCATGCTGATCATGCGCTGGGTAAGCAGAACTGCGCGGATGAGCCAGCATTTAGGAAGATCTCAGCCAAGCACTTTCAGCACGATTTGCATGCAGGAATAAAGCCGGGTGGGAGCACGTGAAAATGCACCTCCAGAAAAACACATTCCAGCTGAAACAACTCTTCTTTTGACTTGGGTCTTCCTCTATTGTTGACCATTCAAGAAAAAGCAAGATCCACTAGTCGGGTATTACCAGGCCAGCCCACACTGAGCCATTTTCCTGTGCTTGAAAATCCCGGCTCCTAAATTAAACTGGACAGGACAGGAGTCCAGATCCGCACCTCCTGGCCAAATGGCTCTATCCAGATAGAGGACACAGGAAAGGCCAGATTCGGCACAGCAGCAAAAGAGCTGGAATCCTAGTCATGGAGTCAAACTTAACCACCAGAGGGCAGAATCAACTAACACATCATACAAGACTACTAATGAATAGAGAAAAAGGCCGCGATTTGCAAAAAAGGTCAGGTATGTCACCTCTTAACAGCCGGTTAGGTAGCTGTTTAGGTAAAATAACACTTGACAATTTAAAGAATAAGATATAAACCCCAGGGAGGGGACTGGTAGTAACCACTCCCTAGCTCTCACTAAGTCCCAGGGGAACATCCGATAGGTAAACCTAGGCAGCACATGACTGTGCCACAACCCCCATGGTAACAGAAGTAATTTCACTGACAGGTTTTGGACAGGACCCACACTGAAATACTAGGCACTAGGACTTGCAGTTAAAAGCCCTGCTTAACTGCTTGCAAGAAGAGAGTTCTTATGCTTCTTTTAAAACTTTGCAGGTTAACTACAAAAAAAAACTCTAGAGGAATAACTGCACTGAGCTAATTGTGGCATCCACTGCACCATACTGCATAAAAACTATTCTGGAAGATCAGCAAGCATGCCAGAATGGCTTAGATGCAGGAAAGGGGACTGCTGGCTAGAACCTGTAGACCAAAGGCAACAGCTACTTCTGTAAGAACACTGCATTCAATCATAATCATAAAATAGAAACAAAAACCCACATTCAGGAAACACAACAGTACTGGGTGCAATACAAACAACTTCATCAAGGCTGGAAAAAGACAGAAGGTCACACCGCTGTACCTAGAGCAAATAAAATCAAAGCGTCTTTCCTTCATAGTAAAATGAAGCAGTTGAAAAAGAAAGCAAGTTACACAAGGCATCGCCATCAACAAGCACAGTACATTTTTTTAAGCACAGACTTTCTCCCAGACCATTAGTCAATCAAAAGAGACGAGTTAACAAAACCTCACCTTTTGTAGCGACGAAGGTGGTGACCCTGAACCGTCTCTGCCTCGGTCTGAACGTGGGATCTGAGACAAAGCACAGAAAAAAAAGGGAACAGATCTTGAGCTCCCTCTAGCAGATGTATACAGGCTCCAGGATGTTGAATCACACATGAACTATTACTACTTTTGCCTGGAGTACAGCCCCCAGTGTGAAGCAACACTGTCACAGCGCCGGCCTGCTAAGGCCTCCCAAGCCTTTAGAGAAGTGTATTACATCGCCTGGGCGCTGGCACACCAGCAGATTCCTTCACGCCCTTATTAACACCGGCAAACTGTACAGTCAGGACAGCTCCCACTTGCCCATGGCCCCACAGAATGTTAACCTGCTGTTGTGCTAATATAGCACTTGTAGAAATTTCCCCAAGCATAACAGCAGAAATGGGACACCCAGGAAATTTTCAAGGAAAGGACAGACCCTTGAATCACTTAGCTATTACTGTCTTATGGAGAGAGAGGGATCTCATGGCTTTGTGTTTTCTATAACCTTTGTGATGTTCTTACAGGCTGTAAGACAATGGAAAAACACCAACAGTACTTTCAAGCAGGGTTGGCTGCAGGGTGAGACAAAGTGATCCGATCTCATCGTGTTACTACATTTCCATTTCTGACCACAAGGGGGCAGCAAAGGCCTACCTGAGCCCGCGTTAAGCCAGCGCTCCCCCAAAATGGTCAAAATTACTCAGACGTGAAGAACGGGAATACGGTACACCTGATATCTCAAAATCCCAAGGAAGCACTGATGGTGGGCTTCGTCACTTGAAACCACATTTTGGTGATCTGGTGTTTCCAGTTTGTTTTTTTGTTTTTTTTAATGCTGCATTGCTGTGCTTTGTTTCCTCTGTCACCAAGAGCTATTTACACGCATTCTTCTCCACATTCCTCTCTGAACAGGTATCTCCACTGCGGGAGGGCTGCAGACGGCAGGGCAGGTAGGGAATCCCCCCCCCTGGCCCTGTGGCACTCCGAGCTGCCCCCGGTGCAGACCGACTGCAGGACTGGGGGAACTCTCCACCGCTTCCTTCAACACCTGAGGCTTAGACTCGCAGAGACGCGCCCCAGCCCCCCGACTTCCAGCATCCTGAAAATACCGCACCACAGCGGGCGACTCGGCTCCACGCACCCTCGGGCAGCGGCGGAGAGGCAGGATGAGAAAAGGCGATTCGGTAAGGCAGGCGAGAAGGGACGGGCAGACAGAGGCCATGCTCAACGGCTCAGCTGACGGATTCAAATCTCCTGCTCTACCCCAAGGAACTTCTCAGAAACAAGACCGTTCTTTCTCGGAAACAACTGCCTCCAGTCAAGGCAAATAAGAGGCTCGTTTTTCACTCCTGCCTGTGACACACAGCGAAGCAGGGGGAAAAAAAAAATCATTTCCTTAGATTCATGTATTTGACAAAGTAAAAGCAAACCAAGGATCTAAATCTTAAAGGAGTTAAGACTGATATGCTTTTAAGAGTTCTCTCTGCTGATAATGTCCAGCTACCCACTATATACAACCTTAAAAACTCGACAACAGACAAAATTCATTTCAAATTAGCTACCCATGCCTTAGCCAATACAACGGACGTGGGCTCAATTTTCTAGAAACTTAAAATGGGAGAGCACAAACAGACATTCATTATAAGGTACACTATTTATGAAGCTTAATCATTTCGCAACCATTGAGATCATATGTTTACCAGTAGGTGTGGATCAAGCCATTTTCCAGCCACCAAAAAAACTTTCCAGGTAGAAGTAAATTCTACTTCACCTATGACCAGAGGAGGAAAATAAAAAACAGAAGCCTATTGTGTTCACTGCATTAGCCTGTAATCGCACGCGTGTTCACACCCTACGGTCCACAGTGCTGTGTAAAACACTTTATACATTCCCCACCGTTTACTCAAGGACAGGGTGGCAAATGTGCATTCATTTCTAACACCTGATGGAGTTTAAGTCCAAAAACGCAGCAATATCTGCAGAAGACAATGTAGGAAGGCCTTGCCCCCTGTGACTTATATTTAAATAATGAAGCAAAGCGTCGCTTCAAAACTGCACTGATCTGCCACAGGTCGAGAAGGAACAGGCGGCTGAGCCACGGCTCATCTAGAAAGGTCATTTTTAGTTACATTAATTTTCCTCAGGTTTATGAGCTACACCGATAGGCTTTTTACAAGCCTAGTTCACACGGTTCACTTGTCCTGTGCTTAAACAAAAAAAGGTTGCCTGGGTTTATGATGCTATTAAACACAGGGACGCATCCCAAAGAGCTGGACTCTTCCGCATAGTGACATAGCTGGAAAGAACCATGCTGTACATGACACAGCAAGCCTCCGGCAGAGAACAGCAATATAATTAGCAATACTACCAAGATCAACTGTATTAATATACATGGGGAAACAAGGAATACTGTATTAGCACTGTCCATGAAGGTTCCCAGAAAACAAATTACTACTGTTTAAATGTAGAAGTAACAAAGAATAAGTAACAGGTTTATCCCGTGCTGAAAAGAAAAGAGGAAAACAATGTTTCGGCTGAGGGGCGTTCTTCGGGTGTGAGCAGTGAGCACACGTCTTCTCTCACACCCGAAGAAGGCTCCACAGGCGAATTGTTGTTTTCTTTCTTCTCTTTTCAGCACGGAATAAACCTGTTACTTGTTCCTTTGCAGCCTACGCCTGCTGACGCAGCTCCCCACCTGAACTAGTAATCAAGAATGATTCTTCTGATTTTCTGGGTGTCTGCAGGATCAAGGACGCAGCGTGGAGCTCCAGATGTTCAGTGAATTTGCCACCTGCTTTGCAAAGTCATGCATTCCTCACGTTGCCTCTGAACACATTATATCTTGAGGCAGGTTAGCATTTTTTGCACACGTTAAAAAGCAATAAAATGAAAAGTCATTCTTCACCAGTTTAAAAATCCCCCCCCCCCCCCAACTTGAAAACCCACGTGAGGAAACCTGCCGGATGACTGGAACGTCCCAGTAATTCACACAAGAACATGAGTCGAATAAGCAGACGAACAGCAGAAGCTGCCTGATCTTGTCAGCTCTCACAGGCCGAGCAAGGCTGGGCTTGGCCAGCAGTTTAAAGGGAGACCTCCGAGGGACCGCTGGTTCAAGCTGGCTTGAGAGAACCAGCAGGTGGCGCTTCTCCCTGGAGACACTGCTTTCTAAGGCAAGGCCCAGGTATGGCGATGGGGGACACCGTTCTGTCCGGAGATGCCATCCTTCCGATGAGATTTCTAAACTGAAGCCCTGGCTGCTTCGCCAGTAAATACAGTGGGCTCTGTACAGGTGCTGACCTGAGTGCCCTGGCCATATCCCACTTCAGGGTTGTACGGCCTGTGCCCCCCTCACTCAGCTGGTGAAGTCATGTCTCGTTTCTCCACTCCACGGGCTGTGTTGGTGCCCCTGGTGTACAGCAGGGTGACCCAGGTGGGGTGGGTATATACCTTCACATATAAGGGATGCGAAGAGGGGGAATGATCTGATGCTGCACGCTAGACACTCTGCCCTGCGTTCTCAGCCTCCAAGCGTGTTCAGAAAGCCTTCCCAGGCAGCGAGTCTGGAAAGCACATGGCCGAGGAAAAGAATCCCTGAGTCTGTTGCCTTATGAAACACTCCCATCCGAGGAGCTCCGTCTCCTTCAATGACTCAAAGGCTTTCTGAACACATGGTATGCCCTAATCTCCCAGCATCTTCAGAGAAGGTCATTTGTTCAGGGGGAACTGATCAATTAGCCTCTGTGTTGAATGAAGCAGATGATACAGCGAGGGGACGAAAGCACGTGCTTCTTTAGTGCATATTCAAATAGTACAGATGTGTGCACAATGTCTGCATTGAAGCTGGGTGTTGAAAATGGGCTTTGTCCAATGTAAGCAGGGCATACTGAAGTCTGGAGAGAAAATCACCACTACAGGAAAACCCACAAAAATTCAGCGCTTCCATAAATCTTATTAAAAGGTTGCAAACAGTAGTTAAACTAATATTATCTTGTGGTCCCCTAACAATGGGGGAAAAATTGCAATTCTTTCTGCATGCAAGTCAGAGAAAAGGGCTTCATCTCTTTCATTTTAGTGAATGAAACACATGTAGGACACGGATGCCGTCATAAATTGGATATATTGTCTCACATTAAGCATAAGCAAATTCTTTCACACTCACGGCTCCATTAAAAGCTTTATTTAGTTATAAATTTCAAACAGAAATGGACCCATTTCTCTTAACTGTGATCCCCTTCATTTGTACGTTACATTATTTTGCTAAATGAAGTGTAAAATTCATTACAAACTCTCAGATAGAGGCTTAAAACGCTGTGCCAGTTTACAGATTGCTAGGCAACTGGTATGAAACACGGCACAGAGACGACCCAGGGCTCTACAGCTGCAATCACTCTGAGTGAAGTAGATCACAAACAGAACAAATGCTGCTGTCAAAGTCCAAACATTTCTATTTCCTGTATTTATTCAAAAGCGCCAGAGACTATGGCAGTGTCCTTTAAAAAAAATCTCACGTCCTGTCGAAATTGTTGCAATGTAAACAGCTTACATTGTAAGCTAAAATGTCAAGGGGGTGAGGAAAGTCATACCAAATTCACAGTACAGTACGAGAAACCCATCAGCAGAATGCAACCTATACATGTGTATGACTATATAGTGTATAAACATGCATATGCAGTCAGGCATTCATTCATGTGAAAGAAAACGGAAGAACAATGCTTCCAAGCCCCTTCAGGCGAACTCAATTTTAAAGCAGTGCTACTTTATTTTTTTTTAAATCCACTGCATATATATTTCCAGTGCTTACTTAAACGCTTCTTAAAGTGCTTATTTCAAAAACCAGTGCTTACTGACATCTCACCCCCATGGCAATGTTAATGGATGCACTATACTGTGTGCTGTCACTCAAAGGCGGATCCATTTCGCGACCAGCCACATTCACCAGAATCAAACCCCGAACAAGTTCTTATCGTGACATTTCCAGAAGGGAGAAGATTCTGCCGCCTGCGGTTTCCACCAGTTGCCAAGCAACAAGTTAATACAGCGCT